TATGTTCAGATACAATAAACAAAAAAATGTTAAAACTCATCTTTATCAGATGAGGAATATATATATATATATTCAGATGATATGATTTGACTAGAATGAAATTTAAGGGGGGATCCAGGCGGAAGTCTTTCCACAATATTTTGAAGCTATTGAAATCATCAAACGTCAAACGATAAGTCTTCAGGTCTCATAAAAAATGAAAGTTGGGCAAGCCCTCAATACCACCTAAATATAAGGCTTTGCAGCCCATAGGGCTTACACGAAAAAATGGCTTGCTACGCGCCTGGCAAACGCATGAGAATTGCAACACGGGCCTCTAACCACTGATTCTCCGTGACCTGGAGACACATGTGACTGAGCGTATGTTGGGACGTCGTCTGTCATACAGACCCTGAAGCAAATATATCCAAGCCCACGCAAGTCTACAAAATGTGGCAAGTCTAGATTTCCACAGCTTCAGGAGAAAGTCTCAGGGCTCCTTTTCATTATATTATATATTTTTTTTTACTATGAACTTATTTTCTGTAAAATATGTTCATATCAGGGACTAGTTGTTGATCTAGTTCTGACGGGTAGAAGACAAAAGACAAAATGGATACTAGTGCTGTTACATTTTATTATACACATGCATTCGTCCTTGTCTCGGTATAAATGTATATTTCGACCAAATATACCTATCGGAGGATATCGAAATCTAGGTTAAGCTATTTGAATCATATTTACAATTAAAAGACCCAAACAATGGTTTGTTGTCCAAATGTTTGGTTTTCCATAGTCACAGAACGAAAGTTTTTCCCCTTCCGTCTCTAGGAAAACTCACTGCAGGGTTGAGTTATGGAGTGCCATACCAAACACCCACAGCTGGCGGGACCAACATCTCCAGTAACATTTACATCTGCCAACGCTTAATTCGCAAGTGGTGAGGCAATAAGCTAATGAGGCTAAGGGTCCTGTACCATGTTTGTGAAATATCTATGATGCCTTATATGAAGTCTATCATCTAAGCAAGTCTAGCTATGTATAGCGTTAAGTCACTGCTTGAAGAAAGGCTCCTTTAGAATTTTATTTGGTAAATACATGTATTAGTATTTCCATCATATTGGAAAATACATCGACTAACGCTTAGTGTCTGAATATATATAATTTTGATAGTAACAAACAAACCCATTTAAATTGAAAAGGAGACCCAGGGAGACACGAGATTCAGTCCGGCTAGCCATGGCAGTTAGCTATAGATATGTTTACTTTGTAACCCGACCCCCAAAGTGAGTTAGGTTTCTTGGTGATGTTAACAGACCCTGGACCTGAGGAGATCTAGACTTGCTTCATTTAAGGCATTAGCATTGCATAGAGGGCTTGGCAGTAGGGGAAATAATGTGGTTCAGGGACTGTGAGACAGACTAAGCAGTAAGGAAAATAATGTGGTTCAGGGACTGTGAGACAGACTATAAAATGCATTGCAACCTACACTTCATTGTGACTATGATTAAGGCATCATTTTAAAACACAAGGGTTATTTCCTTTGCGTTAACTGACAGGCTTTCGGTGTCAAATTATTTGGAACTCCAGCCAAACGTGTTGTTATGCTGTCTGGAAATATGGCCTTTTTGTAATGCTTTGGTTGCACATAATGATAAGTGATTGTTGTACATATGATGTTTTTGAAGAATAATCTCAGCTGACTAATACTTTGCAGGTGTTTCCCCCCACTCTTTCCATACCCGTAAAAGTTAATTTTCCATATATATGTCTGTAAGAGAATACTGTAAAGTAATGGGATGGCTGAATTTGGCAACCTGAGGTAGTGACCACAGCACTTCCTGCACCTGTAGCCCCAATATAGATGTTGTTAATCTGTGAATCTTCCAAATAACTTCGTCTCTTTTTTTCAATTGAAATAAAGATCTTTGCATTGTATTTTCAGTCTTAATGTGCCTATGTCGGAAATCAAACACCGGTTTTTAACCTGACAGGCGAACGCTTTAGCCACGAGCGTACCCCATCATTCCTTGATACTGTTAAAGAATATACATTGGTACATTTATTATACATTCAAGATTGAACCCAGTTTTGTCACCATATATCCTTCAGTTTTTATGTTAGTGACATGATCTGTACACTGATAATTTAAAAAGTGGAATATAAATAATGATTGTTTGCGATCTTTATCCAATTTAGTTTTCCATTTATCTAGTCATTTTCAGTTTCTATTTCCTGGAAATTCTGTACGAAGGTACTTTTAAAAGTTTCACCCAATAACAGTAAAGCATACAGATAATACGTTTCGTAACTTTGATAGATTAATAAGTACACATTATATTCCATGATATTGAGATACCAAAACGATTAACATAATTATATTATGTATAACAAATTAGATAGCAAAAAGCAAAAGTAAAAAAGACAACGCAACATAATGCTGTCAGGTAGTAAGTTTTCAATAATTCTCGAAACTGCTTAGTTATGAGCTAATTGCAATCACTACAATTTTCTTTAGTCTACCCAAGAGATGGAAACAAAATATGTCTACAGTATATTCCGTGTGGGTAACTGAAATTTGAGAAAACGTCCGTATGGGATAATACCTGTTATCCGAATCAAAAAGAGGTCATACCAAGTATGTGCATGTTCACACATTTACAACATTAATTTACACCGGGAATCATTAATACATTGTAATCATCTTTTATGAAAGTATAGATAATGAAATTTGTTCAGTTATGATCAGTCGGATAACTCATACAAGTGAGCACTAAAATTAGGGACCTACCGGTTCATGTCTGTGTGAACACATCTGTCTGTTTTTTTAATGTAATTAGCAGTGTCTCCTTGTATAGCATATATAAGAAGTGTACCTAAGGTCAGTTATTATTTAAACTGTTATGTAATTTCCATTACAAAAAGTATAAACGATATTACCTACTGGTTAGAAAGACTTATCAGTACCCTCACATCGACCCACCGCCACCACCCCACCCTAGGCCTACCCCATGCCACACCCTCTCACTCGCACACACACACACACACACACTCCCTAACATACATATCGCTCTGGCCCATAGACCCGATATTTGAACCTTTTAACAGACACCATGTGTATGTCAAGTAAGACACGCACGTTATTAGTGGTGCTCAGTCACGGGTATCACTTCACCATGTGTTTCTAATTATCTCAGTACATTATGGCGTGGTCGGACGCGCTAACGAACCCTATGTGACAGTTACATTACAGAACCATTGAAATACATGTTAAAGTAGTGCTAATCTTGTAACACTATATTTATCCATTTCCATCCATTTACGCATGTACTAAATATATGACAAACCTAACCCTGGTCATACGAGATTTCAAGGGTATTGAAATGCATGTCCTACAATCACAGCATTTACATATGTTACACATGTTAGGAAACACATGGAAACAATGGCCAGATTTACACACCTGTGAAATACATGTAAATGCAGAGTTGAATGTTCGTTTATTTTAACACCCCTTTAAACGTGTGTAAATCTGACGGCCAGATGATACGTAGATTTCAAACGTTGTTCATATGGCCGCCGGATGAAACGAGTATTTCCTGACGTTACTAAATTTGGCTAATAGTCATAATAACGTAATATAACTGTGTGTTGCTGGGAGCGGCTGTACACTACATTAAATCAATCATTCAACATACGTAACTGTACAATTGTGTTAATGTATTACACTTTTTCTTCTGATCAAATGATATCACATTATCCATCGTTGGTGTTTGTTCACAACGTCGTACGTCTTACGCCATTGATTAATTGATTTACTGGCCACGTGAAAATATTTGTACAAAATTGAGTGTTTGACGTAGCTTGCTGTTTTGCTGTTGCCTAGCAACTTCGTTGTGGCGCTAAACTTGTCATACAACCTTAAGTAGATTGATCAAAGCAGGGAAGTGATTGGAGATTGAATCATCAAATGATAAAACAATGACATTGTAAACACTGTCTGTTTTACGCTACATCACATTTACAAGTAGATCATTGACGGTACAAAGTTAATGAATGAATTCACTCGTGAAGATCCGGGTAAGAATTGCTCTTCAGCAACCCACACTTGTCATAACCCACGACAAGATGTTGATCACTGGATTTTCAGGTCCAAGTTCGATATTTACGGCAGGAATGTTGCTGAGTGCGGCATTAAACAACAAACAACCAAATAAATTATGAATAAATGCAACTAGAATAGCAATATAAGTAATATGAAGCATTTTTTAGTACCACCTACTTGAAATATTCGATGGGGAAGCCAGGTGAGTAGAAGGTCTTCACGTCCCGTGTTGCCGTTAATGTGAAGGAGCAGGGCGTTGCTCCTAAGGAAAACAAAAAAAATCAACTTTAAGGATATGTCTAATTATATTAACTCTACCGATGAATACACCTTATGTATTCATATCTTCGACTATTGCCAGTTTCATTCTCAGAGAGGTACACTAACTACGTAGTACACACTACCAGTTGTCAGACTTCCATTTTTCTGAAAGCCTGAGTGGGTTAGATTACTGACCTTGTGTGATAGCCATTAAGTGGGTTAAGTGTGAGTGTGTAAGTTGGAAGACACAAAAAAGTACAAAAATATGTACTTTACTTAGAAAGTGTAACCTCGAATGAAAATCATGGTTTATTATATATGCAGCAGTGTCTAAGGTATATAAGTATATTTAACAACTAGTGTTACAGTTACTGTGACAATAACCATTTGTTCATAATATGACTGTAATACTTGAATACTTAAATTTGTTGTATTTTATCAACTGTGTAGACAACAAGCCACAACAATAACGTATATGGTTCAAGAATTAAAATGAAGATCGTAAAAGTCGATTCTACACAATATTCGTCAAGGGTTGACCCTAAGCATACGTCAGTGATACATACGGCTTCCCTCGTAGTATCGGAACTGGAAGCCTCTTGTCTCCAGATTATCGTTGGATCGAAATTCAATGAATAGGTTCTGTCCAGTGGAGGCCAAGAACACTCCGCTGTCTCCGCATAACGTGTCAAGCTTAGTGGCAGTGTTCGAGTTACCTGCAGTACAAATTCTGTGGTAAATATGCAACTATGAATGATATTGCTTTCGAAACATAGCACATGGGAGCATAATATAGACAACTTTATAGATCACACTTTCTTAAATCCGTGAGTGCGAAATAAAGAAGTTGTGATCAATAATGGGTTTTTTCTATATTGTACTTTCCAACTTCTGAAATGCCACTCAAAGCGGAAACATGAAATCATAGAAGGAATTAAATCAAAACATACACCAATTGCTATAATTACCATACAAATATACTGGACAAAATAAGTTATGGATATTGGTATTTTTATGATTGATATTTCATCAGTGTGTCAATGAATAAATAGATCATTATTCATAATTTCAAAATTTATATATATCCCTAACTATGTTTGTCCAGTATATTTTATACCATGAACATTATGAAATAAGTAAATAATTAGTCAGTAACAATATTCAAATATTGAAGTAAAACATTATGATGTTGATCATTATGAGCGTTATAATTTTATGTTGTTTGTCGTCTTATGAAAATTCAAAACTAATAGTTTTTTAACTTTTTTTGTTAAAAAAACCCCGTTCCATACAATATTTTAACAAAGTGAAATCCGTCCAATAAACCTATTATCCTGATGTATATTTTGTGGTTGCATTTGATTTCACTGGCAACCTCAGTGTGTGCATTTTGTGCACGTTACTGTAAATCTTCATCATTAAGTCGGACAAATCACAAGAATGTGTAAATTTCGGGGTTCGTTGATTGTGCAGGGGACATCATGAAAGACAATATGTGTTAAGGATTTAAATATCCGGAAACAAATATGAGTCATGATTTCTCTATTACAGAAGATATTAGCCAAGCAAACATTGTACATGTGCCGAAGTTGTGCTTGTAGCCTAAATACATGTATACATTTGTACAGAGGTTCAAGTGCTGCAGGTTTTATGTCATATAAATATAACATGTCTTTTTATCAACCTTACTGTACACAACCATTTTCCCAATAATTTTGTTTTATGTACCCACCACATAGAATAATGAAAACGTCATTATTTACATTTCGAAATCAAATGAAGGTATTCAACGGTATTTGAGGAATGCTAAGAAATAGTTGATTTATGTGTTCAATTTCGTTTGTCAGTTTGTCAATTGAGAGAATAGACATCTAATATTGATATGTATGTGTGAATCAATCGACAGCTTTATACGGTTTGTGAATAATCAAGTCTGGATCAGACAATGCAGTGTCGATATTGTGGTCCACACCGCCTGTGTGGACCCGCTGTGTGGACCGCTATCGTCCACGTCACCGAGCCCGACACCATTCGGTCACCTCTTACTAGGTTCAAACTCGGGGTCCCATGCAGATCTTACCGTCATATATGCTGACTGAATCATCCACACAATTAGTTGAGGGCTGAATCATCAAGTCCACTATCTCTAGAAGTACATTCTTGGAAGGATCCAATGCTTGAATAGTCCACGAACATGTTTGTGAACTGAAACCATTTCAATGGCCGTCAGATTTACACACGTTTAAAGGGGTGTTAAAATAAACGAACATTCAACTCTGCATTTACATGTATTTCACAGGTGTGTAAATCTGGCCATTGTTTCCATGTGTTTCCTAACTTGTGTAACATATGTAAATGCTGTGATTGTAGGACATGCATTTCAATACCCTTCAATACTCTTGTATGACCAGGGTTAGGTTTGTCATATATTTAGTACATGCGTAAATGGTTGGAAATGGATAAATATAGTGTTACAAGATTAGCACTACTTTAACATGTATTTCAATGGTTCTGTAATGTAACTGTCACATAGGGTTCGTTAGCGCGTCCGACCACGCCATAATGTACTGAGATAATTAGAAACACATGGTGAAGTGATACCCATGACTGAGCACCACTAATAACGTGCGTGCCTTTCTTGACATATACATGGTGTCTGTTTTACAGGTTCAAATATCGGGTCTATGGGCCAGAGCGATATGTATGTTAGGGAGTGTGTGTGTGTGTGCGAGTGAGAGGGTGTGGCATGGGGTAGGCCTAGGGTGGGGTGGTGGCGGTGGGTCGGTGTGAGGGTACTGATAAGTCTTTCTGACCAGTAGGTAATATCGTTTATACTTTTTGTAATGGAAATTACATAACAGTTTAAATAACTGACCTTAGGTACACTTCTTATATATGCTATACTAGGAGACACTGCTAATTACAATAAAAAAACAGACAGATGTGTTCACACAGACATGAACCGGTAGGTCCCTAATTTTAGAGCTTACTTGTATGAGTTATCCGACTGATCATAACTGAACAAATTTCATTATCTATACTTTCATAACAGATGATTACAATGTATTAATGATTCCCGGTGTAAATTACTGTTGTAAATGTGTGAACATGCACATACTTGGTATGACCTCTTTTTGATTCGGATAACAGGTATTATTCCATACGGACGTTTTCTCAAATTTCAGTTACCCGACAGAATATACTGTAGACATATTTTGTTTCCATCTCTTGGGTAGACTAAAGAAAATTGTAGTGATTGCAATTAGCTCATAATTTTCATAATAGACCTATTTTGTTTCCATCTCTTTGGTAGACTATAGAAAATTTTAGTGATTGCAATTAGCTCATAACTAAGCAGTTTCGATAATTATTGAAAGCTTACTACCTGACAGCATTATGTTGCTCATGCGTTTTCTTTCTTGCTTTTGCTTATTGCTGTCTAATTTGTTATACATTATATAATTATGTTAATCATTTTGGTATCTCAATATCATGGAATATAATGTGTACTTATTAATCTATCAAAGTACCGAAACGTATTATCTGTATGCTTTACTGTTATTGGGTGAAACTGTTAAAAGTACCTTCGTACAGAATTTCGAGGAAATAGAAACTGAAAATTACTAGATCAGTGGAAAACTAAATTGGATAAAGATCGCAAACAATCATTATTTATATTCCACTTTTTAAATTATCAGTGTACAGATCATGTCACTAACATAAAAACTGAAGGATATATGGTGACAAAACTGGGTTCAATCTTGAATATATAATAAATGTACCAATGTATATTCTTTAACAGTATCAAGGAATGATGGGGTACGCTCGTGGTTAAAGCGTTCGCCTGTCAGGTCAAAAACCGGTGTTTGATTTCTGACATAGGCACATTAAGACTGAAAATATATTATTTTGATAAAAGGCAAAGATCTTAATTTCAATTGAAAAAAAGAGACGAAGTAATTTGGAAGATTCACAGACTAACAACGTCTATATCGGGGCTACAGGTGCAGGAAGCATCTTCAATTATAAAATCACATTCCACAAACTTCAGATAAAGGTTTAAATGACAAGCATATTTATTGGTATCTTGCCAAGCTCTGTCCTCTCTCAATGCAGTATAACCAGAGTGCTGTGGTCACTACCTCAGGTGGCCAAATTCAGCCATCCCATTACTTTACAGTATTTTCTTACAGACATATATATGGAAAATTAACTTTTACGGGTATGGAAAGAGTGGGGGGAAACACCTGCAAAGTATTAGTCAGCTGAGATTATTCTTCAAAAACATCATATGTACAACAATCACTTATCATTATGTGCAACCAAAGCATTACAAAAAGGCCATATTTCCAGACAGCATAACACCACCTTGAACTGGAGTTCCAAATAATTTGACACCGAAAGCCTGTCAGTTAACGCAATGCCTTACTCATAGTCACAATGAAGTGTAGGTTGCAATGCATTTTATAGTCTGTCTCACAGTCCCTGAACCACATTATTTTCCTTACTGCTTAGTCTATCTCACAGTCCCTGAACCACATTATTTCCCCTACTGCCAAGCCCTCTCTGCAATGTTAAAGCCTTAAATGAAGCAAGTCTAGATCTCCTCAGGTCCAGGGTCTGTTAACATCTGCAAGAAACCTAACTCACTTTGGGGGTCGGGTTATAAAGTAAACATATCTATAGCTAACTGTCATGGCTAGCCGGACTGAATCTCGTGTCTCCCTGGGGCTCCTTTTCAATTTAAATGGGTTTGTTTGTTGCTAGCAAAATTATATATATTCAGACACTAAGCGTTAGTCGATGTATTTTCCAATATAATGAAAATACTAATACATGTATTTACCAAATAAAATTCTAAAGGAGCCTTTCTTCAAGCAGTGACTTAACGCTATACATAGCTAGACTTGCTTAGATGATAGACTTCATATAGGGCATCATAGATATTTCACAAACATGGTACAGGACCCTTAGCCTCATTAGCTTATTGCCTCACCACTTGCGAATTAAGCGTTGGCAGATGTAAATGTTACTGGAGTTGTTGGTCCCGCCAGCTGTGGGTGTTTGGTATGGCACTCCATAACTCAACCCTGCAGTGAGTTTTCCTAGAGACGGAAGGGGAAAAACTTTCGTTCTGTGACTATGGAAAACCAAAAATTTGGACAACAAACCATTGTTTGGGTCTTTTAATTGTAAATATGATTCAAATAGCTTAACCTAGATTTCGATATCCTCCGATAGGTACATTTGGTGGAAAATATACATTTATACCGAGACAAGGACGAATGCATATGTATAATAAAATGTAACAGCACTAGTATCCATTTTGTCTTTTGTCTTCTACCCGTCAGAACTAGATTAACAACTAGTCCCTGATATGAACATATTTTACAGAAAATAAGTTCATAGTAAAAAAAAATATATAATATAATGAAAAGAAGCCCTGAGACTTTCTCCTGAAGCTGTGGAAATCTAGACTTGCCACATTTTGTAGACTTGCGTGGGCTTGGATATATTTGCTTCAGGGTCTGTATGACAGACGACGTCCCAACATACGCTCAGTCACATGTGTCTCCAGGTCACGGAGAATCAGTGGTTAGAGGCCCGTGTTGCAATTCTCATGCGTTTGCCAGGCGCGTAGCAAGCCATTTTTTCGTGTAAGCCCTATGGGCTGCAAAGCCTTATATTTAGGTGGTATTGAGGGCTTGCCCAACTTTCATTTTTTATGAGACCTGAAGACTTATCGTTTGACGTTTGATGATTTCAATAGCTTCAAAATATTGTGGAAAGACTTCCGCCTGGATCCCCTCTTAAATTTCATTCTAGTCAAATCATATCACCTGAATATATACTGTATATATTCCTCATCTGATCAAAATGAGTTTTAACGTGATTTGTTTACTGTATCTGAACATACTGAAAGACATATTCTACTTCTAAAAATGCCACTCAAAGAAAGTTTCCTCATCGTTAAAATTAAGGGGAATACGGACGAAAGTGTTACCGATACAATACCATACATCGAGTATTTGGTGTTGTTTCTAAAATAATGGATAAACAAATGAAAAATAAACAACTGCATTTCAGTGATGATTCACATATAATCATAACTGTAACAAAACACCCTCATACATGTCGATGGAAAAACAATCACCACTGAAAGTTATGATATGAAGAATAACCTGTTTACTGTACATGGTAATGCTTTAATCAAAGAATATTGTAGACAGTATGATTCATAGAGGGATTTCCACTTTTTAAATGGAACGTGTTTGTAGGTATTTCTGGCAAGAATTAGAAGAAAAAATATTTTTTAGCAAAGATCATGTGTAAGCTCGAGCTGTTTTTTATAATGGTAGCCACGCCCCTGTTTGCATGTGTTGTTGACGCGGCATGGACATCACTATTTGATTATGATTCACAAACACATGCCCATGATATGGTCGGAATCGTGCCAAGGATTAGCAGATATTTATCACGAAAACAGGTTTTATGTAGGTAGCTTGATCCTCGCTTTTACAAAGGCCTATAGGTTCGATCGCAATACATTTCGTTTTACAGCTTCTCTTTTCTTAACATGCTCACGTCCAAACTTATTTAAATTCTAATCGCAGATTAAAGAATAACACAATAAATAGTATCCCAAATTATCGTTACCATAACAACCCTGTGATATTTCACCTTATGTAAGAGAGTAATGCAGATGATACTGTCGGCCATAAAATTTGATAAGTTGCTTCATCGCTATCAATGAACACTGGGTATCTATATAGAGAATACTACACGAGGTGTCATTACGTACGAATTATACGAAACGAGTGTCCTTCCTATGGTATCTGACCGAGCGAAAGCGAGGTCAGATAACATAGGAAGGTCACGAGTTTCGTATAATTCGTATGTAATGTGACCGAGTGTGGTATTTTATTTATTACCCACGTCTTACATGCATTAAATTGACAAAATAGTGTATTTTTGTTAATATTTTGGTTTCAAACTGAAACCGGTTTCATAAAGAGGTTGCGGAAGAGTTTTGTACTGTAGTGCAATATTTGCATGACGTCACACTGTAATGACGTCACTGCCTTGGTAACCGACGTCACGATTCATGTCAGTTGTCATCGCCTCGTACAGCCTCCTACAGTAAACTACTCCGTAGCACCCCGTTTCTTGGTTTGCAGTTGCTACATTCGGCTAACATCACTGGTGGAAACATTGCATTTACGTTTTTTCGACGGATATAATGTCTCAGTTCGACTCACAATTAAACAGCGACACGGCAACGTTCGCGATGTTTACATTCCCACAATGCATTTAAGTTGTAGAATGAATGAATTCACGTGTTTGTTATGAATGAAAAAAATAGTTACGTCAGAATGTGACCTAATTGAGAGGTCATCGGCTATCCAATCAAATCGTTAGAATCTCAGGTCAAGTCGTTACGACACAGGTAAACGCAATACGACACTCGTGTGACGTACGAGATAAGTATGCAACTACCCATACGTTGACCACGTGGGTAATAAACAATTATATGTGTGATCAAAGGCCATATGATAGATTATGTGGTCTCTAGTGTGATGGAGGAGAACTTGCGTCGCTAGTTTTCTCGATAATCTGAACACAAGTATGTAGCGTGAAACCGGCAGATACCTATAGAAGAAAGTGTTTGCCCTACCTGTAACAACGATGTCCCGTGTCTATAAAAGGGATATAATGTGGGGATTATAGGGAAATAGGAAATTGTATCAGACATAATTTTGTCGTTTACTAGTATACGAATTTGGAAATACGAAATGTCCATATTTTATGTCGGCCATACAATGCTTGTGACCTGACTTTTCTGAGGATAGATCACAATTTATGGAAGAACAACTTCTTTATTACAGTGAGAGCGACGTTTCAGTGTAGGTTTTAACGCCGTTGTGAAGGAAGCAAATGCCTCTCAAAGAAGTTACTTCTTTTTTCTGGTTGAACACTTACAGCGTATAATCATGTTAGAACCAGTATGGTTTGAGAAACACTGCTATTAACCGTTTTTGTGTTTCGAAGAAGGCGTTCTTTGTTGAGACCATTGTAATTTGTGAATTTACGATAACGTCTTCTTTTCTTCGCACCGCGTACTCTTACTCGAAAAATCTCAATGTCCACGCAAACAAATTCGTATCCGTTATTTCCTCATCTTATGCAGCTGCTCAAAATTGTCCTATTATAACTACAGGTAAGTCGGTCAGTGTTTGATCAGTTTTGTAAAGGCGACAACGCGTCAATGCGACATGTCCCTGAACGGATTCCATAGTTAGTCACAAAAATACTCACGGTTCATATTTGATAGGATACCCTTCCGAGGTAAGAAGCTTCTTTTCAGGCGTAGCACTTAGCGTCCCACACGGTGTCGCTGTTATGTAAATACAAAATATGATGAAATTATAGTATGAAATTTGATGGATGTCGACATCTGTAAAATTTCAGCTGATGAAGTGGTAGGAATATACTTTGAAACGTTGTGTTCTTCATATTACCTATAAAATTTCAGCTGATGAAGTGGTAGGAATACACTTTGAAACGTTGTGTTCTTCATATTACCTATAACATTTCAGCTGATGAAGGGGTAGGAATATACTTTGAAACGTTGTGTTCTTCATATTATCTATAAAATTTCAGCTGATGAAGGGGTAGGAATATACTTTGAAACGTTGTGTTCTTCATATTATCTATAAAATTTCAACTGATGAAGGGGTAGGAATATACAGACGTTGACATCCATAAAATCTCCCAATTTATGTGGATTAATTCAAAATGACATTCAATGAGATTAAGATGAAAATACTAAAATAAATGTGAACATAACACATTCATTTACATAGTGAGGGTCCACGCAAAGTTGATCATTTGGAAATGCGGCAGTTTTAGTTGTAAGTACAGCAAAAATGTTGTTACGTCTTGATGGACATAGTGCACCTCGGGGCACAAATCAGTTTGGTTTGAAAAACTGATTTGCCACCAGAAGCCATTTTACAAAACAACAACAGATCATGTAAGCACATTTTGCCAAAGATATTATTGTTACCTTTTTCATTATTTGTGTCAATATAACGAAACAGAATCAGAGCTCCAGAACAAGTCTAAGGTTCTGTAATACTATATATTTCTAAAATAATTGTTTCGGAAAACCCAGGAAAAAATGTTATGTTCGGTTACGTTACATACTTCCTGAGCGTTAAGATATTTATAGTGGTGATTCTGCGGAAGTACAAAAAGCATTTATTTTAGTATTCACTAGTTCTCCATTAATTACGAATAGCCGTATATAGGAACCGGGCACTTGGTTCTTTGATGGGACAGGAGGAATGTTTTCAATGTATGATACATTCGTTTCAGTTAAACACGAGGCAAATGATATTTTGGCTAAGGTTACACAACACCAAATCTATTCTATTGGCATGTTTGGTGTCCTGGGGACAAGTGTATCGGGAAGAAATGAAAATTGTTTTCTACCTCTTGGGAAAGAAAACTAAGTTTTGAAGTACAGACCGAAAACAAATCATGTCCTTAACACGTTCCTTTTACAACTATTGACTACAAATGACCCAACTTGATTCTGATAAATAAAACAGACGTTTTCAGATCCACTGTATACCCAGTGTATATCCTTTTGTAAGACTATCCCCAATCGTTCTTAATACTTAGACATAATATTTGCTTAATATTTATTAATGCTTTAAATTATTTGATATAAACAGGCACCTTTATGGCAAAAATGTATTGGCACGCATCGATGTTTTAAATTGGTAAGCACAGTAAAAATGAATTTTCACGTATAGTTTTCCTTGTTACCTCAAAACCTGCATTACCTCATATGTACAATCATTTCCATTTCTATAACAAATAAATTCGAAGAATACCCATATCTATAATCAATGAATAGCTGCTAAAAGATTTCATAAATTATTTTAAGACAATATCCACAAATGTTCGTTTATCATACTTGATTTCCTGTAAAAAGGTGTTGTTAAAACAAATTGTTTGGCATCCTAGCAACTGCATGTTTTTGTGCAATTAAAACACCATCTTGCAAAAAATAATTTCTGATCCTTTACCTCTGTCCTCATCGCTAATATGTATACTGAGAGGCACTGCTTTAAATGTAATGCTTATTCGTGTCATAGACTGCCCATTTGTTCGTTTGTTGTTGTTTGTTTTTAAAGAATGAACATATATTCTGAAGGCAATTAGCTTGAAATCATGATACATGCATGCAAAATAACACTTCAGGGTTTTCTTTAAGATGTTGATTAGAAGAAAGATATGCTGCATCCACCGGTTTGTGTAGTGCTTTTGGTATCCTGCTGAGGATGTAGGATGGACGTAGCTGTACGTGATACATCTTTTAAAGACGGTCACGCCCACGCCTCCGCCAGCTGACCCACATGGCCCAGAGACTCGCTTTTCGTGTGTCGAAGGGAGTACATCAAATTAACCCTGTATTGAACGAAGGAAGAGGCCATTGCATACCGGTAACTAGTTGTCCAGGTTGTCCAGATAACTAACATAAAGATAAGCTCACCTGACGTTACTGAAAGGTTGAGAGAAGCCAATACGCAGGTGAATACGAATCTCCAGTAAACTCGGTCCATGTTGTCAGGTGTGAGTCCGGCTATATTCTGTATTGTGTGGACTGTGAGTGTGCTTTTTAGACTCTTATGCAATCCACTCTGTAAACAGTGAGTCTCGTTACTATAAGCCCAATAGGGGCCCTTCCTCAAACACTTCAGTGTTCAGTGTGTATCTGTGCACCAGTCCCGTGTTGGAATATGGGTCAGGCTTGTTCGTAATACGTTCATGTGGGCGGGGCTTAATTAACATAATATTGTGTCGTTCTTATTCAATGCACTGTGCATTTGTATGGATTGTTTTCCCACGTCAGACAGCGTCTCCGAGACAACGTTTTACACTGTACACGATATAAGCTGGGAATCCTCTACAGCAAATCAGGGAGTCATACATATAATATCACTATGCCCTGTGTGTTTACATGATATAAATCATATAATTTTAACCGAATATTGTCCGGAGTATTTTACTAATGATTTATTTTCATCTATTTGAGGAGTTCATTACAAGGAACGCACAAAGCAATCCATGTCAACCTGGAATACTGCACTAAAAGTGTCACTTGAATGTCTTGAATTTCGCAATCTGTATCGAGTGACACTCGCGCCCACATATCGCATAACATCTCCCAACACAACCTCGTTGTCGTGACTTAACAATGCAGCTCGGGGTCTACCGCTGTGGTAGGGCACACTCCCCCGCGAATGCCTTTATTTCAGTCATCAATTCATAAAATGTTTGCCTTTCATGGCCCTGTGGAATCTGTCTTGTGGTTAATCGACACTGGTTATTTTCACGTTTTATATACAATGGTACTTATATATATTGTCATAATTTAATCAAAAGACGAACTGATCTATTTCTATTGCATTCTGTCGATCTATCTCCATAACTCTTCAGAGCGATGCTGCGGTCTGTCTGTCTGAATAATAAAATCGCAAAACAGTAATCTATTATTTAGGATCATATATTTTTCCAAAAATAATGCTGTTGGCGTAAATCAGAATCACGAATGAAAATTAACTAGTCTTAAAACATCGTATAACATTTATCATTTGTCACTCGTCCTCAGTAAACCGGGACCATTGGGGTGTACAAATGTGAAAAAAAGTAAATGAAATCCGGTACGCGGTCATGTTTTCAGTTAGTGCCATATCTGAACTAATTTTCTGCCAAATATTCACTCTTAGGCACGACCAGAATTCTCACTGTGTGTCCACAAATATATGACCACCAATTCCGTGTTGTATTTTACGTTACAGTATCCCTATATGCTTAAGATCTCTTTATTCCAATTGAATTGCGTGATACGCTCAGGAGTTCGTATATCTGTACGCGAATTAATTTGCTTCAAATGTCATATATAAATAAATAGAGTAATTAACATTGTGAACTGCTTGTTTAGCTGTGTAATGATATCAGTAAACGATTTAACAGCAACACTGATAACAACTGGAAACATCAGTTGATAGTTTTCTGCCCGAGTGCAAAACTTTAAAGCTGGTCGATGACAAACAATCGACAATAGTACCAACATTTCTGTTGGTTGCTCAGGAAAATGATATTGTTTGTCTGTAACGTAAATCACTAATTTTAATATATTTCAGTCATGACCATCACAACTATATCTCCATTTTGAGACATGCTGTTCCCATTTTTTGCTTTCTTTCTATCTCTACAATCATGTTACTTTTGGACAGCAGTTTTAGCCATTGTATCTGAAAAGAAATCCTCTCGACATTGTTAGATACGTTTTATCAATGGTATTACAACATTTTTATCATAGTAATTCAACCATTGTGGAAACGTGTGAATATCTCGTAGGTAATGAAGTAATGACGTTACGATAATGATGTGCTTAACAACACTCGTGAATGCACACAATTGAATTAATCAATAATTGCGATGGATAATTTCAGCCACACGCAACCCCCTTCACACAAGAATTTCAAACAAAACTCAAACATAATCATACTATCTGAAACTCCTTCGTACTTTTGTTAATTTACATCTCATCAATTAGAAGTTTGTTTCAAGATTCTATAATGTAACCCTATCACAATCCATTCAAGAAATGGAATAATTACATGCCTAATTACAGTTCCTAACGCTAAAAGAATTGAAAATATTGTGCATAGAAAACTAACATTTGTTAAGCATTCATTGACGTAATTTACGTTACCGCAATGTAATTTACGTAACATATATATAAAGGGCTACAACTACCTAAAACTATTTTCATTGTCAAAGTTTGATTCACATTTGATATGTCGGCAATACTAGACAACAAAACACAATAGTTTCGCGAAACTTTCCAAATTTCCAAATTTCCAAATATGGCGGTAACGTAAGTTACAGTAACGTAAATTAGTTCTGGTAATAAATAATGTTGTGGCAAGATGAATAAATATCTTAGACGGGGCACATAAATAACAGCAGACCACCGGGCCCCAAATGTACAGTGAAGAAGACTATTACTGGGGTGCTAGATTTTGTGTTATAACGGTAACGTATGATTACTTGCTTAAAGAATCTCTACTGATGTCGAGCATATTTGTCTATATTGTAAGAAAATCAATGTTAACGAAACTAAATGTTTTTACATATCGAAAATAGATGAACAGGCCAATCAAGAAAATATATCTTGAGGGTCTGTGCGATTTTTTACCACAAGAAAAGCTGTAAAAACACACAGTAACGTAAATTACTCTGCCTCTACCGACATAATCAAAACGTGAGTTTTGGGTTTTGGTCAGTAAACCATCGACATGCTAACATAAGCGAATTAACC